AATATTATAACGTCACTTACAGAGTTTTCGTGTAAGAAAGTAATAATATAATAATTGCGAAAAAAACACGCTAAAATCCGAATTATGCATCATTCATTGTCATACCTACATAGGTTAGGTTAGTACAAACCGATAAAAATATAAAAATATGTGGCAACGCTTGAGTTACAAAATCATTCTTCTCTGCAGACACACACACACGTATGCGGATCGCACACATGACGCTGTCCATGGTTGTGTGTATAACAACAACAATAATAATAATAATTATTGTATCGGTGTTCTCATGAAAAGTGAAAACGACATCATCGTGTATTCGTGTCGTAACACCGTGTCCTGCATTCGTCCAATGACTGCAGTTGAATTATATTGTATTAAATTTTTTATTCACATACACATACGCATCGTAACTCGAGCTCGTAATAATAATGGATCCGAACTGCACTGCAGCACGCTGAACAGTCGGTCGAAAACGAGTAAGACGCAAACGAAACGTTTTARCAGTAATTGTTCTCGATTGTCGTACGGTCGTACGGATATATTATTATGTAGGCGGTGGTAGAAAATAATCCATTAATGCGCGACTGCATGTCTCGTTAAATAATTATCTGCGGRCAGTTCACGCAGAAAAAAGGCACCTACGCTTCAAGTTTGGTTGTTTTTGTGTTACTATTTTTTGTAGTTAGGTGTTTGACTTTGCTTCCATTGTGTAGTTAGCTTTGGCCGAGGTATAAGTAGTTTGAAATGTATTATGTGTAGGTATAATATATTAATTTAATGTTAAAATCTATTAAATAAAAAAAAAAAACGGAAAAGCATATTTTAAAAGAAATTGATTTTTTTATGCAAACGGGTGAAATACATTTTGATAAAATATGCATCTGTCATATAAACGGCGAAAAAAATAGTTATCTCACACTTGCCGTATAATGAGTTTAAAGTTAATTTCAGTAGTTTGATTTTAGTAATTTTAAATACTAGTTTTTTAAGACACGCTACGCAGTACAGTTGATTTGCTACCTATTGCATGATTTAAAAGTCAATTTCAGTATATTTTTATGCAGAATAACAATTTAGTATGCATGGTGGTGATAATTCGATTGTACAGAGGATAAAAACTATTATACCTACGTAAGTATATTGAAATATTTAATTTGATATTTATTAATTATATGGCATGGTCAAGGAAAATAAAAATAACGATTTCAGATATTAAAATAAATGGTTATGGTTAAGGAAATTGATCTCCACAAAACATTTGAATTCAATAATACAAACTGTCATCGTGTAACATTATTTCAAATTAAATAATAATATTTTATAGCATTTTATATAAAATAATTATTGCATTCAAGTGCTATATTCTATAAAAGCACATTTTAATTAAAATTTAATTTCTATTAATAGCTTAACCCCCTCATATGACCAAATGTGAAATTATAAAGTAAAATTATTGCAAAACATTGCAATAATCGCATTATACGCTGAAAATGTTGATATTTTAATTACATACGAAATGATTTCTTCGCGTTTTTGTGATTATTATTTCACAGAGTTGAACTCATTGTAACTACCCACTATTATGCATGTACAGTATATTGTTATTATATTGAATTGTTTATTTTCTTTTGCGCACGTGAAGTCATATTATGTTTAACATTCGTGCCCACGTAATGTATTTACGTAGGGGCGAACCCATATTCGAAATAGTTTATTAAAAAAATATTTAAAAAAATAAAAAATATTAAAATATTAAAATATTAAAAATATTCGAAATAGTTTATTCGCAAACCATCATACAATAATTTTATTATGATTTAATATACTTTGTACACGAATTGTACGTGCCCAACGCGGTGATAGGTATATGTAGTATTTATAGGAGTTTTTCGTTAATTTTCAGAACCGGAAAACCGATCGCCCAATCTGATTCCATACCCGAATTACGAACAAAATCGTTTGGCGCACAACATGACCGATCGAATCGTGTCAGTGTTCCGCATCAACGTGGACGCGTGTGACCGTCTGTGGCTGGTCGACACCGGTCTGAACGACGTTTGGGGCGAAGCCAACCCAGTACAGACGCCCAAGATCATGGTGTTCGACCTGAACACGGACACGTTGATCAGGCAGTACACGTTCAGAGCGGACGACATGAAGCCCGACTCGTTCTTCGCCAACATCATCGCGGACACGACCAAGGACACGTGCGACGACGCATTCGCGTACGTACCGGACTTGGGCGCGTACGGGCTGGTCGTTTACAGCTTCGCGTCGAACACGTCGTGGAGGGTGAAGCACCACTTCTTCCATTTCGACCCGCTGTCCGGCAACTTCCACGTGGGCGGCCACAACTTCCAGTGGACCGACGGCATATTCGGCGTGGCGCTGTCGCCGGTCAAGGAGGACGGGTACAGGACGCTGTACTTCCACCCGCTGGCCAGCACCCGGGAGTTTTGCGTGTCCACGCACATCATCCAGAACGCCAGCATCGCGTCGGACAGCTACTACGAGTACAAGGTGCTGGGCTCTAGGGGCCCGAACACCCAGGCCAGCGGGTCGTCGCTCGACGAGGGAACCGGCGCGCTGTTCTACACCCAGATAAACAAGGATGGCGTGGGCTGCTGGAACTCGTTCCGGAACGCCGACGAGTACTCCGCCGACACCAATCACCTGGTGGCGTCCGACAGTCAGACGCTCGAGTTCCCCAACGATCTAAAGGTGGACAAGACGGGAACGCTGTGGGTGCTCTCCGACAAGCTGCCGCTGTACCTGTACAGAGGACTAGACCTCAACGAAACCAATTACCGGATCTTCAACGCCCCCGTCGTGGACATAATCAGGGGCACCGTTTGCGACATAAAGTAGATGTTATAAGAGATTATGGTTCATATATTATACCATTTTACTACCTACCAATCATCAAAGTCGCTGGTTCCTCATCCCTCACGAAATCCAGTACTTATTTTACACTATATATATAATATATACTACTTACGTATTGATTTTTTTTTTTWAATATATTATTTTATATTTTATTGAAATAGACGCATTACAGTATTATTGTTTGTATGTTCATTTTTTTTCAATAAAAAATATTTTTGGACAGTTTGTCTTATTTTTTTTACCGATTTGAAAATCGTAATGTATCATAATATTATTCTTTAGAATGCGTTATCCACTTACCTGCAGATTGTCATTAAAAGAAAAGCAAAAATRTTTTGCAAATTTTATTATTTTGATTGTAACGAAAATTATACATTATTTTTAAGCATTATAATTGCTATATTTTTATTTTTGTTAAATCAAGTGTTTCTTTGCGGTGCTTTTGTTGATCAATGGCCGTATTAACTATATTATTAGAATTTGTCTTTGATGATCAATATCAGCACACAATATTATATAAGTTGGGTGTTATCAGAATAAAAAACTGCTCGGGAAATGTTCGATCAATGTCAGATTCCTGCACAGGTGAATACATTTTTGTATACAAAAAAAAAAAAAATAAGTATATTAATTGCATTGTATTCACTCAAATAATAAACTATACATAGTGGGTGGAGTGTCCGAACGGACTAAGGCGTCGTCGGTTGGGTAGCATGCCGTCGCCGGTTCGAATCCCGGTCACGTGCGGCATCGCTCTTTGGGCATTTCACTGTGTCTGGTGAGAGAGGCTGCCACCCCCCAACCGGGCATGGCAGAAACCTACGGGTGCCCATTCAAAATTCTGCCAAAAAACCCACGTGTTAAAACCTACAGTACCTTCCCCTACAGTTCCCCAGGCTAATGACCTCAGTTGTCGAAGCCTTAACCCTAAAAATAAACTACATTGTTAAATTAATATTTTATCTTTAATTAATCTACACCTACTTATAACTGTTTTATATACCTATTAATTTTTTACATTTATTCATAATAGTTTTAAAAAAATTGTTGTTAATACTTGATTATAAATTATATTTAACAAATAACTACACCCACCGTATGAATTGTAAGAAGTAATAAGAATTATTACAAACCTAAAAAATTATTTTTAACTCAATAGTTCTTAATACGAAAAAAAAAACATAAATAACATTATAATGTGATCATAGAAAACAAAAAAATTAATCATACCTTTCACAATATTAGTACATTTTATTCGAATATTTTGATTTTGTACCTCAACAAAATCAGATCTGTATTATTGGTTATCAGAATATTCCGATGTATTTTTGCTGCTATAATTTATTAATCATTTCCAAATTATAATTTTGATTTATAGTGGTAAAAAAAGTAAGTATTAGGGCCTAAGGGATTCAAAATTTATCTCAAATTAAGCATTAATTTAAATAATATGGTAAATAATACGCAATAAAAGTTTAAACAAACATTTTATATTCTAATTTTTACAATGAGAATTTTTGTTATTAGTCTTAAATTAATAATCGTCACTATTCTGTTTTATAATATACAAATTTATTTTATATATAATAATATAATAAATTGTGGTATTGCACCGAGGTGTGCAAAAGGAGATGAGTGCATTATACACGATATCTATAGAATCCTCCATTTTTTTTAACTTTCATATTAATTGATTATAAAAGTTGACGAGTATCACGTTGCTTAAAAGTTGAAACGTAGTAATAACTAGATTTTTTTACTAAATATACTAATAATATTAAATACTATTGGTGTATTTCGTACCTACTTGAAACGAATAAAAGAAAAAACACTAATGATATTTTAAAACAATATCAAAAATAAAATCTATGTTGTGTTTGAGTTGAGATTGAATATTCTGTTTCACTGAATTCAAATCGTTGACACTTTCAATTTACATATTTATAGTAATTATATTATGTTTAATATAAGGGACCTTTATTAAGGGTGCGCATTAATMGTAACAWGTTTTGTTGTGATATTTTTTTAAACAGGTATTTTAAAGTTTCTTTTTCAAAAATAATTATTAAGTTCCTGTAGCCTGTTTAGGCTAGTAATTTGAATAGTATGTCGTTATCCAGTTATAATAATTAAAACAGTTATTATGTATAGTTTAGACATTATTAAAATGTTGTATAATATAGTTATCATTATTATAATATATCGTGAACACAGCGATCCAAACAAAATAATTATACTAAACTAATACTAGTTTTAGGGAAAACTATAATTACACATGTTTAAGTTTTTTTTTTTTTWATGAGAAAGCRTTTGCCGAAAAAGTTCCTTATTCCAAGACGCGTTTCAAAAACTTAATATACAGTCGTGTCTCGATAATTTCAATATAATTAATAAATTCAACTTKACTGTATGTTTTTCAAGTTATATACTTACCTCAAACTTAAAAACACTTCAAGAGGAAAGAAACAAATTTGAATTATCGAGACTCTATTGTAATATCAAAGCGATTGCCTATCGTTTAGTTTTTCATAACTCGACGCCGCGGACATCACAACCAATAATACCCTTGAGCGCCCTCGAAAATATAAACCCGTGTGGGGATAGGAGGATGAGCAAAGTAAAAAATCTCAGATAACACCGTGACATCACATACATAATCAAAATAGCGGTGGTTCATGATGGCTCTTGCAGGGCGCCTAGGCCAGTGCCACTGTCACATGTGCCACTACACATGTGTATATATAGTTGTATACGAATCAATAATTATAGTTAAATATTTAACGTGCGTGAAGTTGTAGGTCCCGTCACGGCACCATGTTGTGGTGATTGTACAAAACTTAAATACCGATAGTTTATAGCTTTTTATTAACTCTTATTTACGCTGGAGTCCAATGTTCAAATCAGGAGGGGGAGTAATTTTCCATGCTATAATTTCGTCCCTATCAACCCAAAATTATTTTCATATTCTATCAACAATTATGCATTTTGTAGGTTCAAATTATAACCGTTCGCCGCGCCTGGTGCCATACCCAAACTACAATATGAACAGACTGCCGGCTACCGGTCAACCGACCACCAACCACATCATCAACACGTACCGGATAAGCGTGGACAAGTGTGATCGTTTGTGGGTGATCGACATGGGGATATCGAACGGCACGAAGCTCGGCCAACCGCAGCTGTTCGTCATCGACCTGAACACTGATCAGGTCGTCCGGCAGTTCATGATCGCCCAAGACCTTTTGCGTTTGGACGGAAATACGTGGTTCCCAGGCATATTGGCGGACACGGACTCAAATTCGTGCAACCGTGCGTTCGCTTATATGCCGGACATCGGCGGCGGCCTGCTGGTATACGACTACTGGCGGAATACAGTCAAGCGAATCGAACACCATTACTTCTACTTCGACCCGCTGGCCACCGTGTTCCACATCGGTGGTGTCCGGGTTGAGTGGCCGGACGGCGTGTTCAGCCTGGGTATGTCCGAACGCCACCGGAATGGCTTCCGGACGCTCTACTTCCAGGCAATGGCCAGCACCAGGATGTTCTCGGTGGACACAAGCATCTTGCAGTCGAACACGAGCGGCACGAACACGTTCGAAGAGTACCRGCATCTCGGTCACCGCGTCGCTGGAATGCAGGCCGGCGCCATGTCCGTGGACGAGTCCACCGGCACCGTTTTCTATGCGCTCGTCAACCAGGACGCGGTCGGCTGTTGGAACCCGAAGCAGCACGACCGCCTGTCCGCTGACACCTCGGACGTGTTGGCACAGGACTCTGTTACGCTMGAGTTCCCCGCTGACCTTAAGGTGGATCAAGACTCCAATCTGTGGGTGCTTAGCGACAGGATGCCTCGCTTCCGGTTCCAGGTTCTCAACTTTGAYTTGGAAGACGTCAATTATCGCGTGTTCAGAGCTCCCGTCGCCGACGCCATTCGTGGTACGGTCTGTGAATCACCACGAACCTTGACTCGGCCGTCGTCCGGTCCYRACCATCCTTCGCGACCTCGRCCTACCACCATCTCCACCGGTGGAAGTGGATGGAACACACCGTCTCGAAGGATGAATGATTTTGATTAGGGTGTTTTGTGATTTGATGTTGTGTGTACACATGCAACGGAATTTAATGTATATTTTATTTATTATTATTTATATTGCAAGGAGAAATGATGTTTTATTTACAATCTGAACTTAGGACCAATAATCGGTTTTGTGCTATTATTTTTATAATTGTATACTATTTAGAGCATGTTTGCATTTTAGAATGGTTTGAAGCTGTGAATAAAATACGTTTTTTAGTTGTAGGTAAATGTAATATTTATGCGTGGAAAACAATAATTAAACATCACAGTCATTTAATTGTCATAAAACTGTTATATTGTGTTTTAAAATTAACCAACCACTAATATAGTTAATATTATTATACAAATTCTGTGGTCGCAAATAAATAATCCATAAGCTTGGAGAAAAAAACAGACAACATAATATTAATAGGTACGTATTATGAACATCATTGTGTCGACGAATACAAGTTATTGTTGTTATTTATCGAACAAACCATACTTAATAATTTTCCGCTTTATACGTGATTGACGAAATTGACGAATATGATGAGGTTAAATTTGATGACGAATTCAATAATATGGTAAACGAGTGTGGTATGCGAATGTTTAATAGACAAAGAGAGCGAAAGGCTGGCCAAGGTGCTCCGAGGTTTATACTGTATTAAAAATGTTGAAACAAAACAATTTGTACAATTTGTACAATAAGTTATTATTGCTGTAAATAATACACTAAATATGAAGCGGGTTGTTACCCATTGACAGTAAATCATTGAGTAAGTTTAGACAAGGACCTAGCAAAAATTTTTCGACAACAACTTAATGAACAATAATGTATAATATTATGATTAATATTATGTTTTATTTTATTAGTATTCATTTTTCATATCATACTTATTAGGCTATTCCAACTAACCTTGATAGTATAGGTTTATTGGAATATTGAGAATGTGTCGATATAAGTTTGATTATTGTTGTTTTATAAACTCAAAACTCGAAAATCTTAGAGTGTGAACAATGTATAAAAGTATACCGTAATCAAATACCCATTGTTGTATTTGAACGTAAAAGTCGTTAAGTCAAATTAATTAAGCTAACATAAATTTTCAACAGGGGATTCAACAGTTGATAATCGTTTTTAAACCACTTATTTAAATAATATGTACATTATAAATGATTATTTTTTATCCATATTATAATGTTAACCATACCAATAATAATTAACAGCAAACACTAGTTCATTTGTTTGAAAAAAATTCTTATCACATTTTCAAAAAAATAATTCCAATATTATCATTGATTGAGGGTTTAAAAAAAAAATTAAATAAAACCATCGAATTTTGTTGTGCAAGAACGGGTATTTGACGTTTACTATCATAGTAATTACTAAGCATGGATTTTTATTTCTTATCACCTATTTATTTATTTTATATTTTTAGCTATAGTAGGAACATAAAAATTTCATAAAGGTACGGATAATATATTATATACATTTTACAAGCAATAGAATAAATACGGTGTCATCTGTTTTTAGGAATCGCGTGACCCAAGTAAACTGCAAACATTTATCAAATATCAAAATGCTTTTATCATCCACACACACGTACACGGTATATTTCTGTTTCTTATCATAAACAGACATACAATTTCATTGTATATTAAATGCTTATTAGTACTACTCTGTTATTAAGTAACATAATTTGTTTTTGATACACAAGTACATTGTATTGATTCAAGATTTCAAGACGACTTAATTTATAAAAAATCAAAAGTTATTTAATTAAATAAATACATATTAATTAATTTTATTGTAAACTTTTATTTTTATTATTTCCTATAAATTAGTTTTTTTTATTATAGTTATAACTGTGCAGTATTAAACTAGGCAAAGAACAAGCGTGATATAATATAATCGAACTACAAACTATAATTAAAAATATAGATAGGGATAAGTATTCTWAATAATTTAAAATTTAAAATCYATTTGGTAGGTATAAGGTATAATATTAACAACAATTTAAATCCACTCCGAGTTTTAATAAAACGTATTTTGGGTATTAATTTGTACCATCTCCCAGTTTAAGTAAAAAAAATGATAGGAGCTTCGTCCTCTACCTCTCCCCAAACACCTCYAATTCAATCATTGCTTACTAGGTAGTAATATTTATGACTTMTTAAAATATCAATTATAMAATTTTTTTTGAACATYGAATCCAGACTATATCTAACGTAAAAGTTGTAGAAAAACTCAAAAACGAATCTTAAATGATTTTTTGGGGATCGTTTTTATTGACAAACTAAACTACTGATAAAAAACGTASGTATAGGTATATAATGAGATGTTCCAATAAAACTCACAAAATCTAGCGTTAAACTCATTTGCTTTCGAGCTTAATATTATAATACAAGAGAAATTACTTAAATATTGTCGTATGTAGGTAAACAGGTACACAGTGGTTATGACAACGCGTAAATACTACTTATATGCAATGTCTCTCGGGACATCAGCTCGCTAAAGTTCCATGCATTTTGATGATTTATTACCATTAATGTTGATGTTACTTTAGCTTCTTGGATAACAAGATCAGYAGAGGATATAAAGGTATTCAAATGAACAATATACGTAAATTATTTTACCGAAAGTATTATCATTTGAATGTTAAAATTTTTACATAATTTTTTTTTTTTTTTTTGCGCCAATGGATGTTCTTTTTACTTCGAAAATTATAGACAGTCTTTTTAAACATTTTATAAATTTTCCAAAATTTTCCAAAATGTTTTTGTATTTTTTAGAAACAACTAGCTCACAACTCTCTCATGATTAATGCTGTATTTATAAATGATATAGGGGAAACTAAACATTTTCATTAGTGTTAGCCATTTCCACTATGACAAATTAATATGAAGTTACCTGGTGGTTCCACTTAGGAAATGCGTCGATTCGAGTGCTTTCCTTAACCTAACCTATTTTTTTTTTTACTTAAATATTATGTTTTAAATTTTATTTCATTTTTTTTTATTTATTCATTTTTCTTTTTTGATTCAACTAATAAGAAAACGATTGCGCACCAAATTTGTATCATCGATACTCACCGATCCATTTTTACTTATTATATCACATTTAATCACAGCACGACTATGCATCAATGACATTATAATAAATAATAATATACTAGGAATAATTTATATACGTATATAACACAACATATGATGTAATAATATATACATGGCATACATATACCATCTCAAAACTAAACATCTTTGGGYTTAAATAAAAAATAAATATTKWTTATTGACTATAATACRCACTGTATTTGAGAATATTTTATGTTTATGCAAAGTGAATTATARCAAGGCATTCATAATCATAATATGTTCAARATTGACCTATCCTCTTCATGAATTGGGCTGTAAAAGCTTCTTTAGTATAAGCTCATACTAGGCTAAGCTAATAGCTRATAACCTAAGTAGTTGAAACGTACCATGAATAAAAACAAAAAAAGATAATTTCTTCAGCTTAATTTTGATGTTCAATATAATAATAMGAATTTCTAAAAGGCTCAACTTAAATAAACCGATCAATGAAAGCTACTATAAATTCTTGTTAAAAAATTCATAACTATTATACAGTGACTATTTTCTGTAATGTTTTGTTTATAAATATTATATAAAACTGTAATTAAACCTTTYAAAGTAAAGTTGAAGAATTTTCACTTTTTTTAGTAACTCGATCTCATTATTATATTAACTTATATTTCTGAAATCGTCATCAAAATAAACTATAGTCGTCAACAGGAGTGGTAATAATTATCTGTGACTTTTGATTGTACTGTACTGTGATATACCTAAACATATATTACGTATGTATTTAATAGAAAATAAAAAAAATAAAATAAAAATGAAATAAATTATGACAATTGATTTGTATTACTATAAATTATATTTTGTCTCTTCTGCTGCAGACATTAATACCTAATGYATATTTTATAGATAGGTACATATTATTATTATTTCTACCTACCTATATACCTATACTTCCGAAAAGTTTAATAAATTTGAGTTATTTTAGTTGGCATGTTTTTTATACACCATCATAAGTCGTAGTTAAAATTGAACACATCTGATATAAATTTCAATTAAAATGAATTTATCTTTATAGGTAAGCTGGTCCAGCTAAACTATATTTATTATCTTTTTTCAGGTACAATTTACTGCATTAATACGATGACTTTTCCTTTCTTTTTTTACCTACTATCGGAGCTCAACACTATTTATAGTAACGCTAAAGTTTGTTTACGACCGGGTGGCTAAAATTTCTGGGGGTGTTGTTGATTTATTGATTTTCTTACCTATATGTACAACGTAATTATAATAGAGTCAGCTACCGCATCACGAGTAGGCACAATAAGCACATCTTAGAATACGCGGAAACTCATTTAAAATATTATTTTAACCTTGCCTGACTTGTGTTAAAAAGTTAGGAATGAATAATGATAATAAATACGAGACGTTTATACGGTTATTTATTTATTTTTTTTTTTAGGAGAAAAGAACAACATTCGTTTCGTAGTTTAGAATTGTTTAACAGGAACCACAGGTTGGCATATAATATAAATATATTATGCAGGTACCTAAGTGGGTAAATTAGGTGAACAAATAATTAAATACAAAACTTCATAACATTGTCTACATGTCATAATGTATTTTAACTGGTTATAGTCATGTTACATAATAATAGTATACAATATTATTATTTTAGTTACATACAATATAAATAAAAAAACATACTCAAGAAATAACAACCTCTGTTTTTGAGGCTTTAGATATACAAATATTATTGTTTAAAATTATCTTTTTTTTTTATTTATACACATCATTTTTTTTWAATATATATAAAAACATGTTTAACGATTTACTTCTTAATTATTCTTTGTACACAGTTGTTATTAAATATTTTATTTTACACACCTAATACGGTGTTATGTTTTCCATGTTTTATGAGCAACAAATTTAAACAAAGAAAAGTTATCTCAAACCAATTCACTAGGTTTTCTAACATAGTATAAATTACTTATTTTATAAAATTTAACCTACGTTTATTGAAGTCACAATCTAATCAATYAATAATTTAATATCATTAATTTTATTAAAGTCTAAAAGTCATATTTTTAAGGATTCGTTATTTCCTTAATCTATTATAATGTTAAACTATTTTACGAAAATCACTATCAGTAATTACATTTGTAAGACACTAAAAATACTTTTTGCACATAATATACTTAAAATATAGTTACCTACATATAATTGGTTTTTATTAAATCAATTATATTTATGAATATTCACATTATTCACTTAGATACACATCTTACTTAGAGCCGAAATTTTCGCCTTTAAGCATGTAACATTTACACAATTTTTAGTTATAAATTATTGCATTATTCTAAATGGTGTTTTTAAAGGACTTTGTTTTTGGATAGGTATATATTAAAAAATATATTCAAGTGTTTGTACTAATTCATGTTTTAATATATTATATAACTGGTGATTTTGACATTTTGTACTCCTCTGTGGCGAACGATGACAGATTTAAGTATGATCAATGGATGTATTATGGCTTACGAATCAAATATTATGTGACTTTAAATATTAAAGATGTAGCACTTGAGTGTAGTAATAACATTTTTATCTGGCGATATTTTACAAAAATTTAAAAAAAAAATGAATTAGGTTTAAAAATATTAGTATTTATTTTTATAGTATTGTTTTAATAAAGAAAATTAGGGGTTCAGTGTTACTTGGTGTTTTCGCAAAGGTGCATATTTCAACATAAATTAAAAATACATTGTTATTTGTTATAACTTATTACATGCTGAATTTTAATATCATTAAAAGGTACTAAAATCAATTGTTAAACTATACATAATGTGATATTACATCCGAAAAAATAGTTTCATAAGAATTATTTAAAATTAATATTCCCATTACTTKTTATTTTTGATTAATTTTTAAACTTAACTTACATAGTTTAAACTTTAAAGAGAAAAACATTTAACCATAAGTCAAATTATTTAATGAAATATTATTATAATTTATGTTTCAAAATGTTATTACAAGTGATTGTATGCCAATTTTTAATACGATTTTGTCATAATAAAATCGGCGATGATTGCTTTCATGAAAGAAAAATGGAAAATTATTTATCTATTCATAACGATGCTTGAGTAATTAAGGGACGTAAATCCAAAACGTACYATTGCTAAAATACTGATTTTTCAGGAKAAGCGATTTCTAATTTTTAACGTTTCCAATAAAAACAAAACCATTTATAAATAGATGAACAATTTTGAAGATAATGCATTTTTTWAAATTATTTAATAGTATAATATTTTTGTTTAAAACTATTCAAATATGTTCAATATTCTAGGATTATATACTTTTAATTTAATTTCAAACTTTATTTCACTCAAAAATTGAATTTTAGTGCGTTTTGGTAACATTTTATTAGTATTGTTTTAACTTATTTTTTTATGTTAGTTTAGGAAATAAACTATTTTAATCATATTTGTTAAAAAAAAAAAATAACAATAAATAATAATTGACGATTAATTTGAAAAATTATACAACGAACGTTCTTAACATGTTGAGAATCACCATTAAGATTAAAAATATTTGAGCAATTATTGCTAAATTATCAAAATGGTTCTCAAATGAAAAAACAAATTTAAAACTAACAAAGAATAATTTAATGATTTAAACTTAAATTTAAAAAATCTTGAAATTCTGTAATGTGTTTAATTCATAATTTATAAAAATGCAACATCATGAATATTTTTAAAAATTTAMTATGCACGCTGAAAAGCGAAGATATTGATAATGAAAATCAAAGTATTCTTATTTTATTTCTTATACCAACTGATTTTACTCGTTTAGCTCTAAATTAGAAATATGAGATGATAGGGAATACAATCCTTCGGTGTTTTTAATTTACAATAACTAATATTTTAACATAGTTTAAGTTTATTAGTACCTATGAGAAAAATAAAAAAAGTAAAATCAATGAGAAAGCAACGGTAACAAAACTTATAAATAAAAAATAATGATATTTATATAATTATACCTATAAAATAATTTCGGTTAATTTTTTTTTATGTAACGACTTTTATATTGATTGAACTGTAATCGAGTATTCGGTAAAAAAAAATATTYTGTTTTAMATATTAATCAAATTAGTATAGTTAATGACATAGGTACCTATAATATATATTTATGTTTTAATTTAGCTTAAAGTGTATCACAGTGTAAATACAAATCGAATGAAATATTTTATTTAACAGCTTAATTAATCATAATTGATAAGTCTATCTATGTTAATTATTATATAGTAAGTGGTTTTATTAGTTTTTGAATTCTATTAAAAAAGTAATTATAAATGCCTAGGTAGTACAAATTTAATAGTAAAATACTTGGTGATAAATGACATATACATATGTATAAAATATGAACACATTTTTATCCTGCAGTAAATCTCAATTCAATAAAATAACTACCTACCTACTTCACATTTTAATATGCTTATTTTTACTTTTTAAACTCAATATTCAATAATTAACGATATTATTTATTTAAGTGTGGCTATATGAATACGACAACCTATAACATAGAAAAACATTTAAAGTAAATCATATGTTCTCATAATCATTTAAATGAAGATTATTATCAATGAATACAAGATCTGAGATCTGATGGGGCTAAAATTCTTAACAAATTATATAAACTTAAATGATTGTGGTAACGACAAAATATATATAATATTTGAAACAAGCTCGTAAACAATATAGCTGATAGGTAAACAACATTACTGATTATTTATATTTTATAATTGGTAATAAAATTATAATACCTATATATGTATAAAAAAACTATAATTATAAAAATTAAATAACCTTTAAAGTTAAAATTAATTTTTCTATATTACTTAAAGCTTGGAAGTCTTTACAAACAACGAAAAAAACAAGATATTAATTCTCAAATGGCAAGCTTAACAGTATGTTATTTAAATATTATGTATTGAACAATTAAAGTATCTCACTACCAGACTACTTTACCAACCAAATACATAGAACGTTGAGTCTTTTGATGAAATAATTTTGAGAAACAGATGTCGGAATTGGAAGTTTTTATTTACATTCATGCGTATTAAAAAAAAAATTCTTAAATCAATGTAGCATGACGTAATATTAATACGGGTTCAGTGTATGTTCTAATTTTCGATCTTTTATGATGACCCCTCTAAACATTGCTTATCTTAARGAGTTAACGAGTTGGAGTAATTTCACTTAGATAATCGCCAAGAACTTTAGTTTTTTTCTTGTTTTAATAGATATTTATTATTTATTTTCCCTGTTTCTCACAATATCTAATGAGTGATGACTGAATTTCAGTACTTATATAAAATAATAGGATCCTATTTATTACAATTATTATTAACTAACCTTTATTTTAAAATTTTTTGTTATTTTTGCAGTTTAAAATTTAAAAAAACTAACTTAACTTATCGACATATTTAAAATAATAATACTTATTGGATCAATGAAAAATAGAACAATATTTCTGATATTGTTTATACTGTGGAGAAAATAGAGTTGAAAAGATATATTCATATAAATAACATATTTTAA